GCTTTCCACAAACCACAGGCCATCCACTGGCAGCCTGGGGCCAGATCTCACCCCAAAGGTGCTTTGTCTGACCTACCCCATGTTTCAAAAAAAATTTAAGCCAGCATTAAAAAAAAAAAAATTGGTAGATTTCCCACACAAGTCTGGACTTCTGGGTTCTCTCAGGGAAATGGAAAGGTGTGGCCTCGCTGGGCTTCCATATCCTTACTTAGATGTAAGGCTGGCTGGAGTGATTGCCCCTTTACATACCCATCTTCTCCACAGTCCCCTCCACACTCTAGTCTCACCCCTACAGTCAGTCAGTTCAGTTACCTTCTATCACTGAACTTGCATTACTGTTTTGCTTCTTTCAAAATGAAAGGCTTAAGAGATTACATGTGTCAAGGAAAATGGGATCTTCGCTTCTTTAGTGGATGCTGACTGACAAGCCACTGTGTGCCCGGCATAGCTGCAGATGCTGGAGACAGCAGTGGGGGCATCACCAATGCTCCTCACTCACCCCGCGTGCTGGGGTCTCACTCCATATATGTATAACTTCCTTTGTGGCCTCGCTGCCTTCACCCATTTTATTTTTCTTACCCACCTGCTCCCTCTAAACAAGAAAGACTGACTGCCCTCCGTATCTGGGCCCCTGGAGACTTCCTTTTCAAGAAAAAAAAAAAAAAAAACTCACTGCTGTCAAGTTGGACCCGACTCACAGCGACCCCTCCTTGGGTTTTCGAGGCAGTATCACTATGGAAGTAGATTCCGCAACCTTCCTTCCGAGGGGTGGCTGGTGGGTTTGCACCTCCAGCCTTCTGGTCAGCAGTCAAGTGCCTTAGGCACTATGCTACCAGAGTTCCTTTTCAAGACAGTGCTCACTAAATATTTGCTGAATGAATGAACTAGTCATCTTTCTTCTTGACAGACTGTGTCAAGTTCGTTTTATTCAGGATTTAATTCAAAGGGTAAGCACGTAGACCAGAACTAGATGGTGCCTGGCTACCACTGTCATCGGCTCAGAAGGGGATCACCGCAGGAGATCCTGGATAGAGTGGGAGAAGAACGTGAAACAAAACTCAAAATCATAAAAAAAAAAAGACCCAACTTCCTGGTCCGTTAGAGGCTGGTGAGACCCCTGAGACTCGCCCCTTCAGGCCTGGAACTGAATTCAGTCTCGTGGCCTCCAGCCAAACAACAGATGCCTATCTTTTAGGGTATACCCGCATATAGGGTGGAGACTGTGAACATTTACATCAGCTACATACACGCCTTCTAACGATCAATGACGGGAGAGCGGAAGGGCAGTGTTTGCACAGGGAGATAGCCCTGATCCCCCTCTGAGTGGCTGACTGTGGTAGCCGGGCACCATCTAGTTCTTCTGGTCTCGTGGTCCTATAGGCTGAGGTTCACATGGTCCACTAGTCCCTTGGACTAAGCAATGGCTAGGAAAGGACACAGGGAAGAGGAACCTACAGGGAAGAAGTGGGAAGAGAGCTGTTATTGTGGGGAATTGAGGTCAATGTCATGAAAACAAAATGTGTATGAATTGCTTTATGGAAAATGAATTTGCTCTGTAAACTTTTACCCAAATCACAATAAACATAAAAAATAAAATAAAAGGGTAAGCCCATAGTAGGTGCTCACTCAATGCCAGCTGAATGGAACGGTCCTGGGTACGAGTGAGTGGAGGGTTACATGGTGGTGTGTGGGCCGAGTGCAGGCAGAGCCCTGAGCCAGGCAGGGGGAGGGGCAAGCATTAATGCCCTGTCAGAAGATCAAGAGTGAGCCATCTGTGCTCAGCTACCCCTAATGGCTGGCAGTTCGAACCCACCCAGCCACCATGGAAGATCAGCCTGTGAACCAACCAAGAAGACTAACCGGCCACGAACCCTCTGGAGCAGTTCTGCTCTGTTAACACATGAGATTGCCTTGAGTCAGAAACAACTCCAGGGCAATGAGGTTTTTTCCTTTTGGTCAAGAGATCACATGACCCTCACGATGACCCCAAAAGGTAGGGGACATGCTGTGGGGGTGACAGACAAGGAAACAAGCTGGAAAGGAATGTCTCTTGGTCAAACTCAGGGGCAAAGGGAGTGAATGGAGGAGGGGTGCTCAGAGGCCCCAGTGTCCTGGAGGCCTGTGCCCTTCCCACTCACCAAGGGGATGCTCCACCAAGCTCTGAAGGCGGACTGAAGGGCTTCTGGAAGCTTCCTCCTTCTTGAAGAAGAACTATCATCTTCAAAGAGATGCCTGAAAGTTCACCGTAGGCAGGTCACTCCCCTTTTGACTGTAAACACTTTTTTTTTTCCTTCAAATTTTTATTGTGATTTGGGTGAAAGTTTACAGAGCAAATGAATTTTCCATACAGTGGTTCATGCGCATTTTGTTTCATGACATTGACTGCAATTCCCACAATGTAATCATTCTCTTCCCACTTCCTCCATGTAGTTACCTTTTCCCTGTGTCCTCCTTTCCGATGCATTCCTGCCCCCTGAGCTATCTCCCTGTGCAAACACTGCCCTTCTGCTCTCCCGTGATAGACTGTTCTAAGGGGTGTATCTACCTGATGTAAATACTCACCCCATATGCTTGTCTATTGTTTGGCTGGAAGCCATGGGAGTGAGTGAGCTCAATTCCAGACCTGAAGGGTACCTAGGGGCCATAGTCTTGGGGGTCTCACCAGGCTCTATCAGACCGGCAACACTGGCCTTTTTTTGTCTTTTTTTTTTGTTATGATTTTGAGTTTTGTTCCACATTGTGCTTCAGGATCTCCTGCCCTGATCCCCGTCTGAGTGGCTGACCGTGGTAGCTGGGCACCATCTAGTTCTTCTGGTCTCGTGGTCATATAGACTGAGGTTCACATGGTCCACTAGTCCCTTGGACTAATTTTTCCCGAGTCTTTGGTTTTCTTCATTCTTCTTTGCTCTGGACGAGGAGAGACCCATTGTTACATCTAGATGGCCGCTTGCAAGCTTTTAAGACTCGAGTCACTACTCACCAAAGTAGGATGTAGAACAATGTTTTTGTGCAGTATGTTAGACTGCAAACACTCTTCTGACCTTGGTGTGAATTCACTTATCACACCTGTTTCCTCCCAACCCGTTCCATCAAACATTTCATACGTGAGAACCCTGTACTCTTGGTAGGGACTCCACCATGTTGGTTTATTTTATACAAAGGAGATCTGGTGGTGCAGCGCTTAAGGCATTTGGCTGCTAACCAAAAGGTCAGTGGTTCGAACCACCAGCCCCTCTGCAGAAGAAAGATGAGGCAGTCTGCTTCTGTAAAGATTTCCAGTCTTGGAAACCCAATGGGGGTCACTTGTTGTTGTTGTTGTTGTTATGTGCCGTCGAGTCAGCCCTGACTCATAGCGACCCCTCCTTGGGTTTCCGAGGCAGTATCACTACAGAAGTAGGATTGCCCAACCTTCCTTCCGAGGAGTGGCTGGTGGGTTTGAACCACCAGCCTTCTGGTGAGCAGGCAAGTGTCTTAGCCACTATGCTACCAGAGCTCCCAATGGGGGTCACTATGAGTCCCAATCCCCACAGTGTTAGTTTCACAACATGGTGGACAGGTTTCAGCAGACTGACAGACTCAGAAGAAGAAAGAGGCCATCCACTTCTCAAAGAAGTGGCCAGTGAAAACCTCATTTTATAAGGGGGAGGTTGAAAATAAAAAGTGGGTCGCATTCTGCCCTTAACAGGTCTGCTGGTAAGAGAAGTCCTGCAGTGGCCAAAGTGTCCCAGTAAAGTGCGTCCTGAGGGCCACCAAGTGCCCCCCCAACGGGGCCTGGGGGATGGGCAGAGAGTGAGGAATGGGCTGAACCCCAACGGAGGTGGGGTGGAGGACGCCGCCGCGGGGGAGCTGGGTGGCTGCAGTGGCCCAGGAGGCTGATGGCAGGAATCACACCCGCTTCCCCTCGGACCTCGCTGCACCTGACATCCGGCCATTTGAAGCAGGGCTAAGCGTTTGTGCAGCGGTGCGCGCGCCAATGGCTAAAGCGCCGGGGGGTCTCTCGGAGCACTTAGCCCCTCTTCCTCCTCCACACCTCCGGGGTCAGAGCCGGACCCCCGCGGGGCGCTCCGCGCTCGGTATTCCGGCCGCGGGCGTCCCCCCTCGCCGCCCACCGGCCCGCGCGCTCCGGCGGTCCCCGCGAGCCCTCCGCACAGAGACTGCGCCCCCTCTGGGCGCGAACCGCGAACGGCTCTGCCCGGCCTCTGGGCTCCGGGGACGCCAGGGCTCGGGCCCGGTTCAACAAGTGTGGGCCGGCCGCCCGTCCCGCCCGTCCCGCCCGGCGGCTTCGCGCCTCCCCCGGCGCCCCGGGCGTGCCAGGCCGGCCCGGCCGGGTCGGGCGAGTTTCATTGCATCACCTGTGCGAGCGCCGGTGCAAATAACGTTGCTCCCTCCCTGCTGCTCCCGAAACTCCCGCTTGCCAACGCCTGCTGGGAGGGCCGGCGCAGGCTGGGTGCTGGGTGCTGGGTGCTGGGTGCTGGGCGCCCGCCCTCGCCCGTCCCTCCCTCCGCCCGCGCCGCCAGGCCACCTCACCGGCAGCGGAATGAAAACCGGTTCAACAGGTAACAAATAGGTGGGTTGTCGCCGTTATTCCCCGACGCATGCGCCGTCGCTCCGCAGGCCACTCCAAGCTAATTAGTTCAGCTCGCCGCCCCCAGCTCCCGCCCCAGCCACCAACACACCGCCGCGAGCCAATAAAGCGTGAACCCGTCCGTCCGGATCGCACTCCGAGACTTCCCGAGAGGCCGCGAGGGACGCCCGTGGAGCCGGCGAGGTTTACCTGGTGCTTCCCCGCCGCGCGGTGCACCTGGCCGCCGGAGACCTCGCTGGGAGCCGGCACGGAGCCCTCGCCGCAGAGTTGCAAGCGGGCGCGCGACCTCCCCGGCGCCGGCTCTCCGCGGAGCGAGGGGCCGCTGCGGCGCCCGCTGTCCTGCGCCCTGCATCAGCCCGGCACGGCTCCGGCTCCGGTCACGAAAGCGGCGGGCGCCGGCGAGCAGGGTCCGAAGATGCCCCGCGCGTTCCTGGTGAAGAAGCCGTGCGTCTCCACGTGCAAGAGGAACTGGAGCGAGCTCCCGGACGAGGAGCGCGGCGAGATCTACGTGCCAGGTGGGCGTCCCGCGCGGCCCGAGCGCCCGCCGACGGGCGGCCGGGGATGGAGGGCGCACGGTGCCGACCGGTCCGCGCCGGATTGAATGGCGAAGCG